ATAAACGTAAGAGCAGAAATCAATAAAATTGAAAACAAACAAAAACAGAGAAAATCAGTGGAGCAAAAGCCGGGCTCTTGGGAAAGATGAATAAAATCGATCGACCTCTGGCAAGGTCAGGAATAAAACACGACATGTCACGACAGACCCCGAAGACGTCAACAGGGTAATCAGGAAATGCGAAGAGTGACTCTGTGCTCACGACTTTGACAACTTGGATGAAACGGACCAATTCCTCTAAAAGCCCAAACCAATACTATTCACCCGCTATGAGGCAGGTGATTTAATATCTCTATGACGAGGGAGGAAATTAAGCTCCTAACTTCAAAACATTCAGAAAGGAACCTTGGCCCACAACGGTTCTACCGGAACATTCCAACTAGGATTTGAATAAGGACGAGCCCCTGTTTTCCTTCAGAAGTTAGAAGAGGGAGCCTTTTACGATTTGAAAGTTGATGAGATGCGTCTGATCCTGTCCTGTGCTTTGGACAAGTGTTTCTGCTGCTGTGACCAAAAGACCTGACCTCTTGGTTTCAGAGGTCTCAGCCCAGGGACTGCCAACTCCGTTGCTCCGGGCCAGGGTGAGGACATCATGGCAGAAGGGGGTGGAGAAGGAAAGCAGCTTGGGACGCAGCAACCGGGAAGCAGAGACAGAGCCCTGCTCACCGGGGACAAGAGGCATGCTCCCTGTGACCCGCCCCCTCCAGCTGCACCCCACCTGTCCATGGTCACCCCCAGTTAGTCCATTCAGGGGGATTCATGTGCAGACGAGGTTGAGGCTCTCCCGACCCGACCACTTCACCCCGAGACTTGCTTGCACAGCACACCTCAGCGCTTGGGGTGGCACCTCGTATTTGAACCCCAACATCCCGACATCGGAGCAGACAGAGACGGTGCCTGGGAGAGAAACCACCCACTAGTGGTTTCTCATGAATATAGATGTTAGAAATCCTTAACGAAATAGTAGCCAACGGGAGTCATGAATATTTATAGAGTGGATTTTATTCTAGGATGAAAGCTGGTTCAATATTTGAAAATCATTCAGTGTCGGCCACCCTGTTAACAGGCTAAAGGAGGGGAAAAAAATCACAAGATCATATCAATTGATGACGAAGAAAAAGAATGACACAATTTGACATCTATTGACAACTGGAAAAAAAGAAAAAAACCTCTCCCAGAAAATTAAGAGTAGAGGGACTTTCCTCAATGTGATAACTCACATCTACAAAATACCCATAGTGAACATGGTGCTTAACGTTGAAAGACTGAATGTTTTCTGACGAATGTCGGGCATCCCACTGTTATTCAAAATAGTGTGGAAGTTCTAGCTAGTGCAATAAAACATGCAAAGGAAATAAGACTCATGCAAGTTGGAAAGGAAGAAATAAACCCTGCCTACGTGTAAATGACAGAAAATGTAGAAAAATCTAAGGAGTCTACCCCCCCCCAAAAAAAAAATGCTTCGACCTAATCCCAAGCACAATCTTAGGATCTAAGATGAAAATCCAAAATCACTTATATTTCTATAAACTTAACAATGAAAATTTGGACCACACAATTAAAACCATGATACCAAATGCTAAAAAAAAAAAATGTGAAATGGGCTTCAATTGAACAAGACATTCATAGGACTACTTGCATGCTGAAAAAAATCACAAAATACCAGCGAAAGAAATAAGTGATCTTGATAAACGGAGAGACATACCATGTTCATGGACCAAAACACTCCACATAGCGAAGCTATCGATTCATACACTGGCAAACAGGTTTTATACGACGCCTGTCTGTTTTCAGCAAAATTTCCTTTAGAGATAAATCAGAATGTTCTAAAAAATTACACAGAAAGGCGAGGAAACTCGAATAGCAGAAACAAATTTTGAGAAAGAAGAATGAAATGAGATGGGACAGTTCTCCCCAATTTCAAGACTTATGACATACTTCTGGTAATCCAGGCTGAGTGACACTAGAGCAGAATAAGGCACCTAAAAATAGACCCAGGTAAGTTGCCCAACTGATTTTGACAAAGGTGCAAATTAGTTTGGACCTAATTTGCACCTTTCCAACAAATGGTGCTGGAGCCACTAGACACATCTAGGCAGAAAAATCAGCACTGATCTCAATTCCACACCTTCTCCAGCAATTAATGCCAAACGGGTCACAGACTTACACAAAAACTATCAAACTTTTAGAAAAGTCGAGGAGAAAATCTTTGGGATCTTGGTCGAGGCCAAGAGTTCTTAGACTAGACATCAAAAGTATAAAAGGGAAAAACTGATCCATTAGATTTCCTCAAAATCCAACCCTTTGATTCTGCGAAACGGCCTTTTAGGAAGTTGAAGAGAGCAGCTACTTACGGAGAGGAAATATTTACAAATCACACATCTGACGAAGGACTAAGGGGTGGGCTCTCTGGAGACCTCCCAACACTCAACAGTCAAGAAAAACAAAATCAGCCAATTAGAAAATGGGCAAAAGAACACACACGTTGTTAAAGATACGCAGAGAGCGTATCAGCAAGGGAGAAGTTGTTGGATTCCATTAGCAATCGGGGAAATGCAAACTCAAGTCGCCATGATATTACGGCACATCTATCAGAGTAGCTAAAGTGAAAAACAGCAGCAACAGCAAATGCTGGTGAAGATGTGAAGAAATTCACACGTCGCCGGCGAGAATGCTATTCAGCCATGTAAAGAAACCGTGCATCTACGCGATAATTTGGATGAGTCACCGGAGAAGTATGCTGACTGGACAAGCCAATCGCAAACATTCAGACTGTACGATTTCATTTATGTAACCGTCTCGAAGCAATGAAACTCTCTAAATGAAGAACAGATTAATGGTGGTCAGGGATTGATTGGGTGAGATCACTAATGGATGTGCTTAGAAATGGCAGTAGGAGGGATTCTTTGTGCATATTTAGAATTCCCAGCCCCCTCCCCCAAAATAAAGCACTCTGGGCTCTCATGATTGACAGGCCTAGGGAGAATGGCTTCCACTCCTTTAAGACCCTGTTTTCTCTTGGTTCAGCTTCATGATGGGGCTGGGGGATGGCGAGAGGGTCCCTGCTGCTCCTGGGCCACCAGCTTAGCGCTCTCGTGGGAAGATGAGCCCTGTTTCCCCAGAGCTCCCGCCAAAGTCCTGAGGTTTTGAGTTTCCTGGGCCTGACCAGGCTCACGTGCCCATCCCTGAACCAGGGTCCAGGCTGGAGAGAAGCTGCGAGCTCATTGGCTGGGCCTGGGTCACGTGCTCGCACCCAGGGGTTGGGGGTGGGGCTCCTCTGCACCTACCAGGTGACCCGGGAGGAGTGCAGGGGTGTCCCTCCCGGAATCGGGGACTGTTGGCCGAGAGTGGGATGGACGCTGCCCAGGCAAAAGCATCGTCCTGGACTCCCAGAAGGACCCTGCCCCACGGTCCCCCGTCAAGACCTGAGTTTTCATGGCACCGACACAGAGAGACACCTTGAGCCTCCTTCCTGGGTGGGGAGAGGCTGCGTGGAGCCCCTCGGCCCAGATGTTCAGGCCTCGTCCAGGCGTCTGTGAGTGGCTCTGGGTGCTGGGCTTTTGGTGGACAAGGAAGTACTTAGAAAGGCCAGGCCCATGTCCCCAAACTGTGTTGCAAACACACGGGGCGCCTGGGTGACCTCAGTGCGCTTCTTACCACAAAGAACCCGGGGGAGCCATGGGCGGGTTTGGCGTTGAAGGAACAGATGACTATCCGCGAGTCCTCTGAGGAAGGCCGAGTCCTGGGTTTTCCCTGGCTCTGTCCTTCTGTGAAGCTGGCCAAAGAGCCTCAGTGGGCGCAGGAGGGGGGCTACCCTGACCTTGGGAAGTGCTGGGGGGTGGTGTCCAGAGACCAGCTTCTGGAGACCACGGTGCTGCTCGGGAAATTGGGCAGAAATTGGCGGTCACTGACCTCAGAGCAGCGTCGGATCTGAGTGATCCAGTCCCCGGGAGCCCCAGGGGCTGGGACAGTGCAGGGCTGGGACAGCTCCATGGAGCCCCTGGGGTGGAGGAAGCCAGTCCTCCAGACAGAGACTGGAAACAGGGACCAGAAACCAAGTCGGCCGGAGCCGGAGCCAGCAGGCCGCCCCACTCCTGGTACCAAATACCAACGCAGCTTTGGTCACGGGAATCGGGCACGAAGCAGTTTCTAGAGTTGACACGTGGCCAGCTGAGACCCCGAGCCCACCCCTCCCTTCCCTTTCTGGCCTGGGGGGGACAAGAGACTCCCCAGCTCTGGGCTCAGCACTCCAGCCTCCCTGCTACCCTGGGAAAGACACGGAAGAGGGACCAAGCAGGTCCCTGTGACCACAAACCATGTCACGAAGAAGCAGGGAGTGGGAGCGCTGGTGATAGTGACCACAGTGACCAGAGCCAGCCTCCTGAGGGCCTCCTCATTCCATTCCAAGATGTGTTCTGTGGGCCATCTGGATCCAGGTGACAACCCTGTGAGGCAGTGCCATCGTTAACGGCCACCAAAGTGACACAAAGAATGTGAGGCCCAGAGACTCGACCTCGTGCCACACGTGAACAAAAGTTCTCGTGACAATCGACCTGTCCCCATCTCCTCCTCCATCATCCCCTCCGGTTAATCCCCATCCTCACGCCAGTGTCCCCACCTCCCACAGGGAGTGGCCCGTGGTCTGTGGATGCCCGAGGCCGCCTCACGTCTCTGCCTCTGCCCGGCTGTTCCCTTCGGGGATGCCCTGTCCCCTGGCCACCACGCATCCTGCGGGTGTGACCTTCCTGATGCCAGCCCCCGGGACAGGATGACTCGCTGTCCTCCCCCCTCCCCCCTGGGAGCCTGTCCACGGTGCAGTGGACCCTGACTCTCCCCAGATCCGGCTGGGAGTGGGCGGCCAGGTCTCGTGCTGTCCTCAGCTGCCTCTGCTCAGGGTGTGGCCCGGAGGGGACAAGCACGAGGCACCGGTGAATGTGGGTGGGTGCGTGGGTTTCCTGTCCCCTGTGCCCTCACGGTGGCCTGTCCCCATCTCTCGGCAGCCTGGCGTGGGGCTCCTTCACCTGCTGCATGGCGGCCTCTGTCACCACGCTCAACTCCTACACCAAGACGGTCATCGAGTTCCGGCACAAGCGCAAGGTGTTTGAGCAGGGCTACCGGGAGGAGCCCACCTTCATCGACCCCGAGGCCATCAAGTACTTCCGCGAGAGGTCGGCGCAC